GGTTTCTTGTCTTCCTTTTTTTTCCTTCCTTCTGTTTAATAAATGTTGTTTTTTTCAGATTTCACAAATCAAAATGATTGTGATTTTTTAGTACGATATGGTGTTTAAAATAATGCAATCCAATACACAGCCATCTGGCTGGGCTTGATTTATGAAAGTGACACAGGGCCCGTCTGAGAGAAATAACTGTTTCTGGGTTGTTCTCATAGTTTCCCCAGGATTTCTTTTTAACCCCTGCATCCACATCTCAAGCAGAAGTGGTGACGATGAGAGAAATAGGCAAACTCTAAGAGACAGCTGAGATAGACTGGCAGAAATTCACCTATAAAACCATTGCTTCCTCAACCATAACTGCACTTTATCTATAGGTACAGTATGCAGGGACTCAACCAAGCAGAACCCTTCGCATCCTTAGTGCTCATGACCTGAGGTAGTACATTTCAGGTTCCCATATTATAAATATTGATATAAGAACTTGACAAATGTGACCATTCTGCAGTGCTTACCTAAAAAAGTGACCTAAAAGTGGAAACCTTCAGCACCAGTAAAGAAGATAAAAGAATCATACTAGATAGATATCGAGTCACAAAAACATGGAGCCTTAATTCTGAGCTAGTAATCACAAGGACAGTAGCCAGAGCATATGGAGCCAAAGCAGAAATTTAAAACTATATTCTTTCATTACAGAAATAAAATACCCCCCCAAAAGCAAAAACAAAGAAAACAAAATGGCACAAGCATAATAATTTAAATTTAATTACATATAGTCACTGCCCAGAACTAATTGCGATCAAAATATTTCATAGATTTATAAGGTAGTCTTCACAATTATTAGTCTTTAGAAGAAGAGAAAAGGGACTGAGACTCTGCTTGGGATGTAGTATAACAGAGAAAAGGAGAGGCTGGCCTTAGTAGGGGGGGTAAATTGACTATTAATGATCAGTTGGCACTTTTTTTTTAACTGTTGATCATCCAATAAAGAACGCAAGTATCTAAGAAAAAGGGCTAATACTTATAGACAAACTCACCGAAAACCAGTAAAGACACCCACTAAAATTAAGGGAGATGGGAAATAATTGTGAAATTTATGGATTAACAAGATTGGCCACTATGTTAAAGCACCAGCTGCTTTAGTAATACTTATTCTGCACTTGAGGTGTCCAAATATCAAATATCCTTAGATGGAGCAGATCTACTTTCTTAATGCTATTACTTAATGCTTTGTTTTACTTTAAAAAAAATTCTAGAGACCTTTTTTTCTTCCCACACAGTATTTATGCATCAGACACAGACTATTTCATTCTAACAAATTTATTTTCTCAATCAGCTTCTTACGGAATCACTACTCAAATTAAATTACAATCAAATGATCACATCAAAAAGATACCCTTATTACCTAACAACTGTCCATATTTTCATTTCATTTTGATTTGTGCTCGTCTGAAAAAAACACGTAATACAAGATCTGGGGAAAAATAAATTACCGTTTTGCAGCAGTTCATAAGTATTCTGAATAAAATATTAAAAGAAGTCATTTAATGAAAATATAAAGCAAATATTTTTAGATCAACAACGGATCTAACAATTCTATATTGCCGTCTTTTCGAAAAGTCTGTTTATTAAAACCTACCAAAAACACTGCTTGGAAATGGCAGTATTATATAATCACATCCACAGCACCCATTCAATCAAAGTTGGCAACGGATTGAGGACTGAAGTCCACAGAAGTGCAGCGGCTGGTGCTTTAGTCTCTCTTAAATCCCTTTTTATCTGAGTCAGTCCAGAAATAAAAAATAAAAAATATTAATAAAAAAAATATTAGCGGTGGAATCTTTAGGCAAGGTTCACCCTGAGCGAGTGAGCGGTAGCCGGTGAAGCCCGGGTCGGTGGCCGGGCGCGGGCCTTCGCTAGGAGGCAGGGAAGGCTAGGCCCTTACTCAGCTCCCTGGTAACCCAGCTGTGCTCCCGTAGGCTGGCCAGGCCTCTCGCCACTCGCCCATCCTCTGGATGTCTCCCTCTCCCTCGCCCATCCTCTGCTCTTGCACGACGTTTTTATTTCCAAGGTGATTTGGAGGATGCTTTCTTTTGGCTTTGCTATTCAGTCCATTAATATCAGAAGCTGTGAATTTTTTTTTCTCCAGGAGACTTTTCTCTCCTCTTCTTCTCATTTCCAAGTTGATTTGTTCCCAAATGATTTTAATATGGCCAAGAAAAAAAAACAGGGTTCAGGAGCACACAGTCAGACTCCATGAAACCTGGTGCCTCTGCTTTCTTCCAGGTCGCTCCCAGGAAAGAAAGTTTCCGTGGATCTCTTTTAGGCAGCCCTTTTGGAGGAACTGGGAAGAAAGGGGTGTGTATGTGGGGGGGGTGTCTTTCTCTCCTCTCTCCGGTTTGTTTTGTTTCAGAGGAGAGGAGGAAGAGGCAGGTGCTGTCCACCACTGCCACCTCAGGGTGGGAAACACCTCAGTGCAGTTCTGGTGTGTCGGGTATCCACCCTTCTTCAGATACAAAAACAACACACCACCACAGTATAAACGAGATCTCACGGTTGTCCCCTTTTGCGCTCTGGTTGTTTGTTATACAAGTATATAAAACAGTCTGGGTATGTATTATGCTTTAAATTTTCTGGTTTGGTCCCTCCTTCCTTGAACTTCAAAAATAAAAAATAAACAAGTCTCCTCGGTCCATCTCTCAATCGATCGTCTTTTCCTCCAAGGGCGTGCGCGCCGGCACGCCTGTGTTTGGGCGGAGGGGGAGGCGGTGGATGAGCCCGGGCTCGGGCCGGGTGCAGCCCAGGTGGCCGGGTCTGCGCTGCAGCGGCGGCGGCGGCGG